AAAAAAAAAAAAAAAAAAAAAGAAAAAAACCCTGCAAAGATCTCTTACTGCTCTTGTTTAGTGACCTGTAGCCTGGGGGGCAAGCAAAATGTGATGAGTGTTTCTGTTTGGTCCTTCCCAAAAGGCCAGAGGATGAAAGGGCTTTAGGGCTAACTTGAAATGTTATTGGTATTATCCTCACGGTGCCCAGACACCAGCATTTCATTAACCTTTCCAAGTACCCATGTAGGAAGGTGTCAAATGGTGGCGTCCTTCATTCGCAGATGAGGAACTCTGCCCGGGAGGCTGCCATGTGCCCTTGTTGAAGGCTTTTTGTAAGGTCTCTAAGGTCCCAATTCAGTTTATGAAAACACGCAGGTCCAAGTTGACAAATTTGCTTGCGAAGGATCTTTTTTCTTTTCCGTGAGCATTTAGGTTAGAGAGAGGGCCCGTTGAGATCTTTTTATCAACACATACTCACAGAACATGGTCTGGGGGCTCTAATTTAGGCAGGTGCATGATATGACGCTGGCTTAGTTTCTTCAGTGACTGAGAATCTGTAAAAATTATCTGAACAGCTGCTTTTGTGTAAGCTTGCTGTCATCCAGGGTGACTGGCTCAATATGTGCTGGTTAGTTTTCCTTTTCCTGTAATCATTATTTTGAAATCATATGCAGTTTCCCACTTCTTCTTTTGGTTTCATTAACAGCTTTTTATACACTTGGGCCTTCATTGTTTGGGACACTTTTGAATCCATATGGGAGGATGTGGATTAACACCCCTCCACCCCTGTCCTGCCACATGTATAACCTTGTTATAGTGGCTTCATTACTTTCTGTTGTTATGGCCTAACTTAACCTGGCGGTGAAGTTCTACACTTGATGGGGCTTGGGGTCCATCTGCATGTTAGGATGGCAAGCATCGTCTGCTTTTTGGGACTGCTGAAGCACATGAGTCTTGGCCGGCTGCAGAGAGTTTTCTTTCTTTACTGCCTTTGCTTCTCCCCACTGCGTATCTACACACTCCCACCTCCAGCCTTCTCCACCCTCCTGTGTGGTCCTTACTCCCTGTTCTGTCTCTTGACTTCTCCCATGTGACTTCTCATGTTGCTATGAGGAATACATGGGTTCATACTGTACCTAGCATGGGATAAACGTTCCCTAAGTAGTGGTGACATGGTGGTTATTATTCCTACTGAGTGCTTAAGCCTGGGAAGTAGGGTTATCAAATTTTCTCTTTTTTCTTCTTAAGAGAAAGAACTTGTTTTGGCGTTGTGAGTTGTCGGTAAAGCTAGGCCTATAATTCGCAAAATGGGTGTGCGTGTAGCTCTAGGGGCTGTGAGTGCTATACAGTACCTATATTTACTTTTCCCCAAATTTCCATAATGCAAACAGCTATTAAGAAGTTGACCCATGGGTTATATAGTAATCTCAATTTTAAAATGTGAACCGATAGTTATAGTTTTGAGCTTTTGTATTTTTCATTAATTTTTCACTCAGTTAAACCTATGGTAGTAAAAAGTCATTGACATACAAGTGATTAGTGAGTATTTTTCATGATTACTTTAGAAGTATTAGAGACAAGGCTATATTTTAATAAACTATTTTTATTTCTCTCTGGTCCTCTTTTTTTTCCTAAACAGTACAGATTTGCACAACTTCCCTCCCCTTCAGTTTTAACAATCTACTTAGTATGTAATATACAGAGTATGTATTTGGCTTTATGTGTGTACATACTTTCATATACACACTTTTATATGGCGTGACTATTTAGTAATGAAACTAATTTTTAATATTCGTCTGTTTCTCTCTAAATGCTCAAATATTTGAATGAATGCAAGTTGATAAACATATTCTAATGAAGTTGCTTTATGCAAGCATTTTGAGAACTCTTATTTTGAAACTGTCTTCTGAGCTTGGACCTGTACTTTTTGAATATCCTGCATGCTGGCATTTTAGAACCTTGGGTTTGGTTTTTAGGAGCAGAAGTCTGGGTCTAGCACAAGACTGACCCTCAATGTATGTCTGTTGAACGAATAGATCATTCAGCAAATTCATTGATCAGTGTGAGTGATGTCATTTCTTTGTTAAGAAAGGGTGTTGGTTATCAAGAACTATCTACTTTTCTTGAGGCACCTAAAATTGCTTCTGAAGCCAATTCTAAAGAAGATGCAAAAAAACGTCTTAACAATTGGAATAAGAGGATGTCCTCCTAAGGAGGGTGCCACATCCAATATTTAAATTCTGACGTGCTGGCTAAAGAAGAGTGACTCTAAAGAAATGAATTAAATAAGTTTAAATGAAGTAGAAAGCAATTGG